TTCGTACGGGACAATGTTCTAGAATTTGATAACAAGTTTTTTTGAAAGATTTTACATTGATGAAGTTTAGTCCAATTTGTTCTATTGATTATGATGTAATTTAAACACATAATTTCCGGTGAGAAATACTAATTGCAGATATAATAACGAACAGGCATTATTTTAACAGAAAAGAAAAAATAAGAATTCACTAATATGGTAATATTCTATTGTGCTCATCTCATCACTCGAGCAAACGAACTTTTAATTCAACAGTTGCACTTGGTGTCACAGTTTGGTTTATGGACTCTTTATGATAACTCAAAAATGCTACTCCCTCTTTCTTCTACTTCTCCCTAAATCACCCAATTTGTGTTTTAACAAAAATATATTTCGAATGACAGGCTTTATGATATTTATTATTAGCCCTTAAACTCAGACTTTAGCCTTCCCTATGGGTGGGGGGTACATATATAGCAGTAAATTAATAGCAGTTCATTACCTGTCTTCTTGATTCCCAGTATCTCTGGGTTTTCGCCATTGTCTTTTGGGCTGGACACCGAATCAGGTGGGTCTTCTCCATTTCCTCCTGTAGGTTACATAGAGGTCGTGTGGGTTGAGTGCATTCTCCCAAGCTGTGGAGGTGTTTTGCCAACCAATCGTGTCCGGTACGTAGTCTAAACTCAGCAACGGCTTCGATTCTTGGCTACTGTCCACTGTTTCTCCTTTGTTCGCGCTTTAAGTTCGTTGCACCTTGAGGTCTTGAATTTTCTCCTGATTAAGGTCTTCGTTGTGAGAAAAGACATTGGCCGGTCCATGCATTGCAAAATTGTCGGACCCTTCTTAGCAAATGCGTCAGCAAGCTCGTTGCCTTAAATGCCACAGAGGCCAGGAATCCATTTTAGGACCACTGTTTATTTTAACAAAAATATGATTTCTCCTCTATAATTTTTTCATCATTAGAGAGATATGGTTATCGGCTCGACAGTCTTGAGTGTGACTTCGAATTGAGTAAAATGTATTCTTTACGATTTGAGAAGCATTGGAGTTGGCATTTTATCACCAAAATTATCTAGAATTCAGTTACGCTTGTTTGGAATGCCATTGCACACATATGTTTTATTCTGTCACAAATACAATAAAATGGAAAATATGGCGGGAGAGAGGATATACAGTTCGTAGAATTCCATCGTCAACGAATATTTCCACCAATGCTGCAATGAAGTCTAGGTTTGGTTCCGAAACTCAGCATTAATCTGCACAAGTTGATTAACTGCATTTTAAGATAAAAGTTAGTTGCATGGGAAATTCGATTTTATGGTTACCTTATGTTTTGAAGCATATGTTCTGCCCAGGAGAACGTAATACTTCCGCGTGAAAATCTTATAAACATGAAGCAACAAATTTTCGGTGATTACGAGAAAAATACATATCTAACCGAAAAAAATCGGGGCTCAATATCTAGTTATGCATATTTGGGAAAGATATATATATATATATATATATATATATCAGTGTCTTTACTGAAAGAGAGGTAGTTGAACCATGTTTACAATCCAACAAACTGGGGGAGGGGGGGGGGGGGTTTCGNAACAAACGGGGGGGGGGGGGGGGGGAGTTTCGAGGATAAAATGAAATCAGCAGATTGATTCAGAATTATGGAGGCTATTTTGGGGATTTATGGCAGTAATAAATTCATTTTGAAGCTTTAATATGGGCATAAATTTAATCAGAAATCGGCGGATCTTGGCTCTGTTGAGTTCGCAACTGCCACCATGATTGGCCAGAGGAGGAGCGGCAAACAGTTCTTGTGGTGAGACGGACACACCAATGCATAAACACACATCAGTGGGGTGGGATTGTGAAAGCAAACACCTATTATAACAAAAAGTAACTACCTGCACTACCTGCGCCACCACAAGCCACCTCTCCATCTAATGAGTTTGCATCTTCTCCGACCACCCTGCTAGTTAATCAGGTTAACGACTGGAGAGGGACTCTATGTCGACTCTATTACCGAATGATCTCTTCGCATGCTCACACCATCTCCAGATACCGTGCCATTTTCACTTATTTTGCAATCCTGGCTTCCTATTTTTCACTGGTGGCGGCTGAACAGTGCCCACCTCAAGTAGACATCTATCTTCTAAATTGTTCAATTAGTGGATTAACCAGTGTTCCACACCGAGTTCATCCTGAAACCCGTATCCTGGATCTCTCGAGAAATTTTCTGAAAGTTATCCATGAGGACAGTTTTGTGGAATATCATCGCCTTTCTCAGTTAATTCTGGATTACAACGAGATCTATAAAATAACGGATCGTGCTATGATTTCAATCTCAATTACACTGCGATATTTATCTCTTCGTGGCAACCGACTGTCTGTTCGATCTTCTTCAAACTTTCCTATTGATGCTTTAGCTAAGCTTCGGAATCTACGGATACTAGATCTATCAGAAAATCCGTTGGGAGTTCTTCTTTCGAACTGGTTGGCTCCACTAGGTGGCACCTTAAGGGTTCTTCGACTATCTGGAATAAGTGATCAAGTGGAAGTAAAGGAGAATGCCTTCTTTGGACTTGGTAATTTGGAGGAGCTCGATTTTTCAAATAACTCTTTTCACCACCTTCCAGAAAATGCATTTTCTGGAATTCGACCTGAAAAGCTCAAGCGTTTAAACCTGTGGGGCATTACTTGGCATTGTGATTGTAAACTTCTCTGGTTGCGAGAGTGGTTAAGAAAGTTGAAAGTTATTACATTTTTCGATGAACCTGCAATCACTGGCCATTGTATATCTCCTCCGAGTTTAGGGCACACTCCTCTAATTAACTTACCACTTACTCACTTTCAATGCCCGCCAAAACTACAAGCCATGCATTCTAGTGCTCCTCATCATTTCGGAAAATACGATACCCTTCTCTACGTGACTCCATCACTGGGAGATTCCATAACCCTGACATGCATATTCGTAAGTCAACCCAAGATGTTAGTGCAGTGGTACAAAAACGGCGCTCTCTTGAGACCGGAGCTCAAACGTTTTGTGCAAAGTGTGAGCAAAGGCACCAAGTTTTCTGCCGTCTTAAGTATTACGAGTTTACGCTCACCCGCTGACAACGGAAACTACACTTGTAAAACGAGCAATAACCGCGGTTTGGCAAATGGTGTTTTCTCCCTTAGCATATTCAACCAGGGTACCGATTCAAAGTACCTTTTAGATGAAGCACAGCCAGCCAATTCGCAATACAAACCTCAAGATGAAATTTCATTAAATGAAACCCCGAGAGCGCTAATTATCTCATTTGTGATAATCTGTGTTTGTGTTATCTGTGGTATTGGGCTACTTATTACCCTATTTCTATTTCATATTCAAACGAAAGGGGGTAGTGTTCGATGTCAAAGAGTGGATACTTTGGCATCGGAGACAATTGAAAATATTGCCTGTTCAGAAAGATCCCCACCTCCGTCACAACCACCATCTTTACAAATTCCAATCCAGATTAGCAACTTGTCCTACAGTACTCCATCAGCATTAGTGAGTTCAAGCTTGAATAGTCATGCAATGACTCCACCAAATTCTCGATTACAGGCAGCAAATCCACTTTGTACACAATACTACAAGCATCCAAATTATATTTCTCCTGCAGAACATGAATCATTTTTAAATGTTAATAAAAATAGACCCATCGTGCGAACTTTTGCACCGTTTATTAACTCAGAGGAGACAGAGGAAGACGAAGAAAATAGCAGAGGAGAGGGAGGGAGAAGTAGCAATGAAAGCAGTAATGAAATCGACGAAGACTGTCCTGTCCATGGAAGTCTAGCTAAAGAGGAAGTGCATTTTTGCCCTGTTCACTCTCAACAACTTAGGATGAATAGCTTTCCAAAAGAGGAATTAGAACGCCAATGGAGTACCCTGGAAGGATATGGAAAATCTCGAAAATTGGACACCAAAGCCCTTCAAAGAAGGATTAACTCAGCAACGACGGATTTAAACTGTTTGGAGTAATGCGAAATAATAAGTTATATGTAAATAAATTTTGTTCATTTTTTTAAGAATACATTATATTATATTTGAAAATACTACTCGTTTACCTTTACGTCCTGTTAACAAAAAAACCCGCTGAAATTTTATTGAGGCAGACTTCCGTCTTTATACACATAGATAAAGTTGATGTTAAGTGCACTTTTTTGAACAAAGTTTGATGCTACACTCCAGTCTTGTTTTATAACCAATAAAAGGAGTTACATTGGCACTCCCTGTAAGAAATTTAATGGTTACTGCAGTTTGTGGCGCATTCTCACGACGAACTAAAAGTAGCATGTTTGTTTTTTAAAAATGTCTTGACATGATCGTCTTGGTAGATTGGCATGTAAATTTACCGCTAATTAAGTTTCTGCAGATATTGGCTATGAGTCCATTCCTTTCAAGACAGCATTTGACTGTGAATTAAGGTAGCTATCAAAAGTACGATAGACCTATTAATCAGTGCATTTAAATATTACTAATTCAGTATTTCGATCATTTACTCTCAAAAAGGCCTTTAAACTCAAGTTTTTATTCGAAAGGATGAGAGATTCAGGCTGATTCTGAATTACTCTCCTAAAATTGGCCACGAAGGAGTGATTGGCCGTCTATTAGCTACATAATAACCTCCTAACACCACGATCCAAATTCTCTTATAATGATTTCATGATGTTAAGTGGTATGATCCATAGAAGAACGAAAAGGATGATGGTGAGAGTAGAACCGAGGCATCAACACATTAGAAAAACAAAGTTGTCACGTTAAGAAATATAAATTTCACAATTTCCTCCCCAGATTGGAGCAAATAATTTCCAACAATGCTCAGTGTATATTTTTTGAATTTAGAAGGGTTGGTCTCGCCACTTCAATTTACTTTTTTCTTCTTCTGACGACTATGAAGGCAGATTATCCTATATTCCTCGGATTTCCGTCTCAATGTAGCTACTTTGAGAACAATTTTTTTTTCAGTCAGCAGAGTTCCTCTTCTAGCGGTGTTCAATAAAGATTGCAAAGGAAACTAACTTTTTATTGCTCTTCAATAGTAGGCAGAAACTTAATCGGAACCATTCATTACTTTGCAGTAATTTTTCAATAAGGCTTTGTGAGCCAAAATTTTATAGCATCCCGAACGGTGCTGAAAAGATAGACTCTTTTGCTCTTGCAGTTGATAAGGCAACAGTATTTTGGTATGAATAGATTTTTTTGCGTTTTGTGATGTAGCATCATGCAAAGTAAAATCCTCCACTATTTAGAACTCTTAAAATTAATCCAAAAGGAGTATAAACAATCCTTGCTGAATGACTTGAAATTTTAAGATTAAAAAATTAAATATTTCACTTTTTATTCCCAATTACTTAATACCATTTTTATAAATTTTATGAATTTTACTCAGTTATTTGGGATTTTTCTCAGTACTTACTCTGAAATCATAATCACAAACCACAATTCAATCATTTAGCTACGTCGAATGAGGCATCGAGATGATATCAACTGACTTAATGAAGAATTTTAATATAAAATAAAATGGCCTTGTTTACATTGCTGTCTCATGTAAGGCAGGATTAGCAATTTGTAGAACAGTAAAATTTGAGCTAACAGAGGCTATTATCAAAATTAAAAAATGCCTTTCGCGCCTATGGTAGTGGGGAGACGACTAATAGAAACAACCGGAAAAATCTCACCTCGCTTGGAAATGGTGACAGTGGAAGCTAGGTGGCAGGGGTCATTTATTGGAAGTCAAAGTGTCATTAAAAATGCCCTTTTATTCTTAAAATACGCACAACTTATTGTTGTGGGAAGAAATTATGCACCAATTCTAGGTTTTTTTGGTTTTATGAGAGAAGAGGAGAAAACTTGGGTTACAGAACTGGAAGTTTGGTCCATTGGCCTAATCATTATATTCTCCAGAGAGTATCTCTACTCCAGGAAATCATCCATAATCGCATGCTTTTCCTTGAACCGCCTTAGATGGAGTAGATTGCTTTGCGCGTGTTTTAACTTGCCAGGGAAAGAAAGGAGTTGAAGGAGGTGGGCGAAAGAACTGACTTTATCAACTCGCCAATGAGTTCTGATAAAACCAAATTGAATTCACTCACAAAACTTATGAAACATATTCAGAAACTTTAATCATTATTTATAATATCTTTAAACAATAAGTGTAACGAAAACCAATCAAAAATTGAATTCAGTAATTCATCAAGGTGTAATTCTTTTCCTGCCCTTATCGTCAATATTTTTTTCATCTTTCATCTCTCATTTGCTTAACCCAATTTGGACACTTTTCCACAAATACACGTAATGAATACTCAATTCCGCCTAATAATAGATTTCAGTAAGCCGATAAGCTGCAGAAAAGCAGTAAAAATTTGTTGTTGTTGTTGGTGTTGCTGTTGACAATAGAGGTACTTCTGGTTCAGATTCAAATCAGCATTATCTTGTTCATGCTCATACACGCGTGCTAAGAGGTATCCAGTTTAAAGAGAATTATATGCAATGGGGGTGGGGAGGGGGGGGGGCGAAGGGAAGGGAAGGGAAGGAATTCTAATGACGCCCCAGATTGAAAATGGACGTATCCCAGATGTCTAACCTATATCGACTGTACCCCACCCTCCATGACCAGAACTCAAGCCAATGCTTTTACAGTTGGCTTTATGCAAAATAGCATTACAGTGCTCAATACACATATTTCCGGTATAACTTGGTATACAATTTTGGATGTTGAAAAGTCCGCCAGACACAAATTTGTTGAATTATTGCAGCATGAAATATGTACCCAGTAAGCGTTACATTGGCTAGACATGTTATGCAATACCCAAATATGTTCATTGGAATGGGAATTTCGAGGAATGTAGATTTCACTTCAAAATTGTCCTCACAGTTGTGGTCTAATAATTCATAATGTCATTCAAGAAGAAGTGTCAATTATTTCTTATAAAGAAAATTGAAAGCGGGGTGTAGGGAGGTGCGACTTGACAGAAGTGCAAAGTTTTGCCTCAGTTCTGTTTTACTAGACTCTGTCGAAGTCTAAATGATGGCACCAAAGTTCTTCGGTCTTACGGATGAATGGAGATATTAGATGAAGGTCTAATTATGATTATTTCAAGCAATGACACAAGGTTCAATTTAATACCTGTAAGCGAATATCCCATAAAGGAAGAAGAAAAGCTTTTTTTATTGGTTAGGCGAAAATTCACTTCACTCAATCTCATCTCGACCTACTAACAATACGGTATGAGCTTTTTATTTCATTTGGATGAATTAGTATTAATTTCATTTAGAGGAAAATATTTGACAATTTTCATAATTTCATTTTTTGCCATGACAGTTTCATAAATTCACCCGACTCTGAAGATGGATGTGTGCTCAATATTTTAAACGTGCAAAATTTTGAATTTGCAATTTTGTTAAGAAGAACTTGAGTCATATCGATCACAAGCTCACTGTTCTTAGATCTAGGTCAAAACCGTAACAATTTCATTTTAAATGGTCTTAAAAATGGAAGTTTGATTAAATTTTAAAGGCGAGATCATAAATGTATGATTTTATCACTTTACGTATAATATCAAAAGATTTGCTTTCTCTGATCAAAATGATTGCAGAAATGAGTGCTAACTGTAAATGGCATGCGAAATTAATGCAGATATCTAATTAGTTGCTGATTAATACCTAGATGCGATAAACAAAAGTGAGTGACATAACCAGATTGACATAAACCCCCCAAATTCATGCCAAGATCGAAAATTGTTTATTTTAGCTGCCACTTCTAGCCATCTTCTTATCACCCAACCCAAACGAATGACTTGACCTATTTTAGTCATATGTTACAAGTCCACACGGATAATATTTGCTTATGGTACGGACTGATGATAACGAATATAATCGAACTCCCAGGGTTGTTAATTATCAACCGATCATCAAAAAAGAAAAGACAAGTCAGTCTAAAAGTTGTTTTTTGCTTAATTATTCAAATTACATTATTAGAAAGAAATGAGATATTTATTTATAGATTTATTGATTAACCACCAATATGCTCATACGGCCCGACTCTACTCATTGACATATTCTTTATTGGACATAATTTAATTGCATGTTTCATAGGTGACAAGACTCCAGGAGCATAATGACTTAAAACTTTTGTTTGAGATTCAATGGCGCTCATACTGCTATTTATATATATCAGGTAGTGAAAGGGTGACTAGCGTTTGTTAGGTTTGTGAACTTGTCTAATTTACGCAAATTGAACAAATTGGCCAATGCGTAAATAGGAGAGTAGGACAGATTTAGAAACAGGAGCTTTTAAAAGAAATGGTCAATTTTAAAATGTTTGCAAAGAAAAGTAATTATATATTTGTCAAGTTATAGCTTATTTTGAGGAGAGAAACGAATATGCTGATAAAATCTCTGTTCCACTGTAAGGAAAACTCCAAGTGGGCATTTTAATTTCCTGAGCAGCATTTGTGGAACGATTGCCTATAAAATGACGTAGGCATTGCGGATGACATATCATTTTGCCCGTTAATAATTCAAAGAGAGGGAGAGAGAGATATTATGACAAGATTAATTAACAAGGAAAAATGGTGGGACTGAATGCCATAAGATATAGAAAGATAAACAACTCTTTATCTTCATTATAATTTCGCTTCAGAAAACAAAACAAAATAGTAGAATCTCTTGAAAATGATTGTGAGCATCCACATATGCTGATGAAGTTTGCAATGAAAGACTCCAGAGAGATAGAGGGTACAGCTATGAGCATACTGTTATAAACTATAATCGCGCTGAACCAGATGTAAACGTTGGAAGGGGAAAGTAAGCCAGTTTTATAGCATCCAGACTGCAGGGGACTGGACAGCATAGAATTGAAAATGAGGAGAAAGACATTACTAAGACATCCAGGGAAAAAATCTATCGATCACACGAAATAATGACAAGGTGGATTGGAAAATACTATGAAGGTTGATCAAAAGGACCTCATTTGCACT